GTCTTCACCCAAACGATGAAGGAAGCTTAAAAAGAAGATTTCGAATCTTTGAAGCTGGTTATTTTAAAATGACCCTAGGCAGCATTCCAACATTTTTTGTATCTTCGTTTTATACCTTGCGAAAATATGAAACGAGAGTAAATACCGCAGTGGCAATAACCTATGATGATTTTTGCAGCAAAACAAATGACTACGACTCGGTTTAATCACATTTTTGAAAACAACATCAAAGCCCTGTTCTAATTAGTTCTGCTTCATTTAATTGGATGAAATGCGAGAAACGTGTTTCGGGAAACACCCAAAATTCAAAACGGAAATGGAATCAGTTACAAAATCGACGCCGTGAAATAAAACGCGTCTTAATTAGAACTGATCACGGAAGCTTTCCACCTGGTTACAACGTTCGGTACGCTTCAGAGGTCGTCCGTACATTACATAACTTTACAGAGGGAGGAAGAGGTTTGAGGCAACGTTGCACTGCGTTACATAGGGGCAGAGGGATGTTAGTTTAGTTACGATACGCTGATATTGATTCATTTTCCAACATTTTCTGAAATAATTCCCGGACGCCGGTAGCGGCTCGCAAATCTCGCGCCGCGTCTCTCGAAGGGCGAAGTGAGGGGCGGACGGCGGACGCCCTGCCTCCCAATTCCGCCCTATATTCGCGCTTACACGAAATCATTAACAAATTAAATTAAAATGTTACGAATGTAAACAATAATTGGAACTATTGTCTTTCAGCAATGGCATATTAATTGAATTTTATATTATATATTTGAATAAAATGTTCGAAACTGATCCACGAGTGTAATATATTCTAAAGTCCAATTAAATTGACGCAGTAGGTTCCCTCCTCCTTGACAGCGGAGCTCTTATCAGACATGTCCCCGCCCGCTTCCTTCCTTCAATTAGAATTTGTGCCCAATCGTATTGTTAGGTGCAGTGGGCATCGCCATATAATTGTGATCTTCATTTTCATTAATTTTAATATACAACACAATACAATTAATAAAACTTAATATATTTAATTATATACATAATTATATATATATATATATATATATATATATATATATATATATATATATAACTATTATTACTTATTGTAATTGGGAGGGGAGGTGTCGCGAGCGTTTCATAATTATTTAGGAGGGTTCAAGCACGTCTTACAATTACGTTGTGAGGGGAGGGATCATTCAAAATGTTCCAAATTTGCGTTATGTAATTTATGGACGGCCCCTTGTAGTATGCGACCGTGCAACGCACAAAATTCGAGTGGAATAAAAAACGCTCGTTTCTGGGTAAAGTGCTTAACATACGTAAAGTTAGAACGCAGTGTACTGTCTGTTGTTAGCAGCAGTGGATTTAGGCAAGGGCAGCACGGTGGGTACCGGCCCCTGAACGGCAAATTTTCAAATTTTTTTTAATCCAAAAGGTGTGTGTTTTTTTCAAAAAAATATTTTTTGATAGAAATTACAATTGCTTGTGTTGATTCAACAAAGGACGCTCGGACAGCTGACTAGCAAAAAATATATCCTGGATTTTTTTAAACAAAATTATGTAAATTCAGTTTTTTTAGTACTATAGCTTTCACCTTATCAAATCGCTTCTTTTTGTTATCCGTATAAATACGTTTATTAAATTACTGTAATGGAAGTAAATAATAAACAGTAAATCGTATAAATTTTCACCGCTATTTTTTTACTTTTTACTTAACTAGACTTTAAAATGTTTAACAGTTTCCCTCAAAAACCGCTCCAATTTTGTTCTTTAAATTTTCTTTATATATGTAATAAGGGATGGAAAAAATATGGTGCTAGTCCCATATTTGGGACACCCTGGTTTTTCGAAAAGTGCAAAAAGTTTACCTTTCGAAACAACAAAATTGTAGATAGAGATGTTTGTCTTAGACAAAGTCAGTTGTTAAAAATCAGCTTTTTAAAAGAGGTCATTACAATTTTATTTTAAAATCCTAGTATTTTTCCCGTAATTTTTTGCTTGAAATTTATGCAATTACTAAAAAGCATATTTTCTCAAAAACCACTCCAACCAAAGTGTTGGTATAAGCATTATCGAGTATATTGATCTATATAATGCGTTGATCAGACTTGTAAGAGACATGCGAAACAAATTTGAAATTTATGAAAAGTTTTAGTGGCACATTGCGAAATGAAATGTTACACTTCCAAGCACACTGCGCTGAAAAAAATATTAAAATTTGAGTCCAAAGGCACTGACGAAATTTCTTAATGAAAATGACTTGCATTTGGTGTATCCCAATGGTGATTTCGCATACAGGATGATTGTCCACACACCGATCAGAAATTGCAGCGCTAGAAGATCTTTTCTTGTTTGATACTACTTGGGATCAATAATGACTGAAGATTGATTAAATGTGCTTGCTTTGTTGGCAATAGAAACCGATATTTTAAAATCAATAATCTATGATCATCTGATCGACCAATTCGCTCTCCAGTCAGCAAGTCGCAATGGATTTTAGTTTATTTTGTGTAATGTTATTTATTTTATGATAAAGAAGGTTGTATTATTATTAATTGAATAAACGCTTTAGAAATTATTGAAACTTTGTTGACTTTATTGAAAATTAAAAGATACAGAAAAGGGCGCCACGAAGTGCAGTGTCTCCCCATATGTAAATCCGCCACTGATTGTTAGTGCTAATTTTCTTGAACGGTTTCGGGACTTGGCGTAGACAAAGGCGTAGGCAAAAGCCAGTTCGTTTGACGTTTCAGATCGAGAATTGTCAGCCATCTATCGGCAGATTGATGAACTTTCAAGATGGAATGGCACATGGCGCGAAAAATGAAACTGGAGCGAAGTAGAAAAAAATTCTACATTTTGCAGAATATAGCACATTTTGCACGAAAGGTTTTGATCCAATTATTTTGATGTTCTAGCGAAAACGGTAATGCTTCCATCGCTCGCGAATTAGTATAAAAAATCATAAAATAAATATGTTGGACTTGCGAGATTGCTGAAGAAGCGGCGCGATGTTAATTTGTATCAGAAAAGCTTCGGCTTCGAATCCCACTTGGACACGATGTTTACCCCCATGTTATGGCATGATGGGCACAACTACACACCATGCATCATCTTTCCAACCTTATCCCATCTTTCCTGGCTTGACAAGTAGGCGGAGCACGACAGATGAAACATGTACACTAGCACCTGGACACACTGTTCTCTTACGCCTGACTTACCGTTGTCGGTAGACGTGAGACCAGTAAGGCCAGATCGCACCTTCTTCGGGTCTCGAGACTACAGTTGGTTTAATCAAGAGGTGACCATTTGTCCCTCTAGTCCGCTAATACCTGATTTTGGACATTGAACACCAGTGTGATTGTATTTATGACGGTTTGGCCAGTTTACGGAACAATAAACTGTTGACGCCGTGTCGAGTTATTGCATTCATTTTTTTAAATTTATTTATTTTATGTGATTATGTACTTCAAAAACTTTCTCAGAAACTCCAATATTATGTCAACGAAAGGCATCTTTGACTGCATCGTACATAAATATCCAGATAATCAAGAACGGCGTGTTGGAAAGGACAGGGGTTTCTTCGATTTGGAAAAAACCCTACGAATGGTTTAGGGGCTAGTGTTGTTCACATACACCAGACAAACGGACGGCACAAACACCTATTCGGAATCAAGGGACCCCAAAACGAGTATTTCCATTGAAATATCGAAATCAATTTTCCGCAGCACTCAGTGGCGGCTCGTGGTCACGCTATTAGGCTACGTCTCTCTTTTCCCTCCCTTCCTCTCCCCTTATGTCTCTCACGCACACACATAGAAAGGCAAACATTTCATGCATACATATGTATATTCATTAACATAAATAACGGCAATTAAACACACAGCATCTTCAGACGTCTGATAGTATGCTTAACTGTACCTTTCATCAGTAGTGAGGGTTGCCCGCGTTTCTTTCCACACCACCTGCTTCGCTGGACAAGGACCACTTCCGAAATATTTATTACTAAGAGTCGCATTACTGCATAACTACTCAGCAGGTTCCAGAACAGTTTTTCCAGGAGTCCTAAAGAGTTCCATTGTACACGTTGATTCAAAACTTTTTTACTCGTAAGAAAACGTACACTCTAACTTCGGTTTTTCAAAACGCATTAAAAAAAGTAGCCAACTACATAGTATACAAAATGCATGCAATTTCCATTAATTCGACATGGATTTGTAATTGCAACTCACTTCAAAATATAAGAGAATGTGCATATAATATTAAATTAACCCAATTCTTAAGAATCCAACACTGTACAGCAAAGCGTTCGCGCGCTAGTGAAGAACTGTTTCATTGGAAAAGAAGAGAGCTCCTTTCAGTGGAGAGATATCTCCCACTTCTTTCGTTCATTGTCACACGTATTTCTCCTACAAACTTCTGCTAGCTAAGTATCATCTCTCCGAGACATGTCAAGGCATTCGCTGATATCACACTCACGCACTCAGCCAAATGCTCCCGCCGTCCATAAAGCTAGAGTAGTTCCCTGTTACCCCCCCCCCTATTCCCCATCCCACTCCTCTCCTTAATCCATTCCCCTCCCCTTCCCCTACTACCAAAACTTCTTAACAAAAATTACCCTATATTCCCCCCTCTCCCCGTCCCTGTACGGGGGAGAGGAGTCGCAACGTGCAAAACACAACCGGAAGAAGAAGAAACTGGACGAAGAGTCTCGCAAGAGACAGGCGTACCAGTAACAAAACACCACAGATCCTTCCTTCCTGTTACCGTCCCGTGACAGCCTACACCGCGCACCACTCGTTTGCAGTTCCCGTGTCCGCGGGCTTCCACGAAGGGCACTGGCAGAGCCCATCAATCGCTGCTTCCGAACGGCGCGTTTCGAAATTCCGTCTTTCGGAAACACTCTCAGATGGCATGATCTCCTATTTGGAAATTAAGTTTAAGAGAATACGCGCCGAATTAATTTGGGTGTGCAGATGCGAATAGACACGAGCCGCAACTGGCAGCATTACGTAACTTTCTCTATACTACATATATTACTCCGTATATACGTACGTATACGGGAAAGTAAAAATTGGTTTCAGAAACTAGTAACTTCAGAAAGTAAAAATTGGTTTCAAAAGAACCTAGTATCACAATTTTATTGTGCACAAGAAACTTAGAAACTGCAAAACGAAAATATACATCTTCACTTGGAGTGTCTTTCATTACAGTACCCACATGCCTTGAATGTGAAAGAAAGCAATTAATTCTGTTTACTTCAAATAGCAAGCTCAACTCTTCAGAAAATACTCCCATATTCATTCTACTGTTCCAGCATTTCATACATCTTGTGGTTTCTGCACTTAAGTTGCAGGAGTTCTTGCAGTCATATTATTGATAGAGTAATTTTATGCCTACACAATATAGGTACTAGCAAACGGCATTTAATTACTAATATAATCCATAATGGTCATAAACTCAATTTTAGAAGCTAGGCATAGCTGGCAAACATTTGAATTGATGTGTAAATTCACATGTTTACACTGAAATAAAACTTAACATCAAAATAATTAATATTTTCTTAGAAGATAAGCATTACTTCCGGTCAAAGTAATACTATCATTAATCTGCTGAATATCTGAGTTACATGAAATGAAAGAAATTAACTCTATCATTTTCAACGTGAAACAAAAGGAATATTGATTTATGGGCATTCTTGGTTACTTCGTTTGCCAGAATATAACATGCACTTCAGATGTTCTTTTTTTCTTTCTCCTTAGATGTAAATAATCAGTAAATGTAAATTCGTACTTTACATTTGTCAAATTGAACTCTTGTCCTCTTTCTTTTAATCAACAATTTGAGAATAAAAGTTGTAAATGATTTCAAAAATGCAAGAACACAGGTTTTCAATTCTGTATCTGAACATCCTGACAACGTACCTCTCTGAAGAATTGCTCAACTTCCAAATACAAATTTGAATGCAGAATTTCTACAAACTGAATTACATAACAAGTATTACTGTATTAGACAGTAAAGTGTCATTGACATAATAAAATAACAATAATAACAATTTCTCATAACTAATAGTAGCTCATAGCATTGTAATTTTCTTCTAATTGTAATTTTTAGTACATATTAGCATAATTGTAAAGTATCGCTTGCAGAAACACATTAATATATACTACTACCAAAAATTACAAATTCAAAATATAAAAATAAAATCACAAATGGAGAAAATGAATTTAATATATTATTACATCATGACATAAATTACTTGACATTAGCATTAAAAAATGGATGCAGCATCATGAAATTATTGATGCAAATTTGTAGTGATACCAAAGTTTATCCAAATTCTTGGCAATAAAGCCATGAAAAATTTAAAATCACTTAAATAGAAATATGGGAAAAAGTGTAAGTTTCTGAGAAGCATCATTCAATAAAAAATAATGAAATATCCACTGGTTAAAAAAGTGTCCTCAGGCACATTTACACAACTACTTCTCTTTGGCACAATATAAAAACGAACATAATTTTGAAGTAATTAACTTCCCTGGAATACACTTAATTATTCCAATGAATTTCATTTTATATATTTCTAATAAAAAGATATTTTTCAGAAATTCTTATTAAAATCCTTTAGATCAGTTACTGCAAACAAAATCATGTGTATATGGTCTATACATTAAATTCCTGCCCTTCCTGTTCTCTTCAGGAAAGGAATTTTTATTAAAATATGATATATGACTAGATGATATCACAATACATTTTTTAAAAAAGCAAAATTCTTTGAATATACTCTTTACAAACACTATTAGCCAGGTTTACTGAAAAAGACAAAATGAAATAAAAATTTCTTTAAATTGTTGTAAAATAATGGTTTTATCATAATATTTCTACAAGTGAATATTCTTGCTATTTCTTTCAAATATTGCTTCTGAATTATTTATATAATCAGTTCTGTAACTTACATCCCTAAATTAAAATTATGGAGTTATTATTTTGATATGCACAATAATGTAAACACACATGTAATAGATAGGAATGTATAAATGTGTCACTCTTTGCACCTGGGACAGCACACTCTAGTTCATTTTAACAGATAATGCCCTATAAGTTTTGGAAAAAAAACAATTTTTGTATTGCTATTTCTCCACACTCAAAAACTTCAGGTAACTTAAATACAAATTGAATTGTCAATAAATTGCACTTCTTTGAAGCATTAGCATTCTGACTGTTCTTCCATATTCTGGAAACTCTCAGATCGAGTCAGCTCAGTAATATATTCACGGGATCCCTTCGGCAAATCAAGAGAACTAATTTCCTCATCATCCTTTGAAGTGTCTTCCATAAAGCTTGCTTCTTCGAAGGAACTTTCTGCAATAAACATTGGAAATATTTAGATGTTAATTACAACAGGTTGTTTTACCCATTCAAAAAATTAATTACAAACCATCAGTCTCTCCTTTAAATGCAAAGAAATATTTTGGCCTTTCATCTTTTTCTTTCTTCTTGCCATGTTTACTTGAACTATATTCTTCTTGATCTATTTGGCTTAGGTGCCACCAGGATAAGGTGCAAATAAGAACGATGAAAAATAAATTGGAACAAATTCCAACAGCTGCAGATAACACTGGCCAATGAAACATTAGATATCTCAAGCCAGTAAAGTGAGCATAAATTTCAAGAGTAGCAGAATACAATTCAATGTATCGTGACTGGATTTCAACATAAATGTTCGTAACCGGATGGTTCTGAAATTCATTAATTCACAAACACAATTTCATATATACCTGCTGAAACTTCTTACATACATCAAAACACTTTTTAATTCAACAAAATATCTTTACTCACCTGATCTTCCTCAAAATCAGAAAATAATTCAATTGTAACAGTTTGCTTTTCTTCAGATGTACCATAAATTAGCATAGGAGACATCACCAAGGTCTTAATAAGATGCAACAAACCACTTCTATAATGAAGCATAGCTGAACGACATGAACTGTCAATAAGCATGCCATTCTTGCCACGCATTTCAGCACACGTCATAAACATCCCTGTAAAATTTACTTTTGAAAAAATTACACAAACACACAAATAAACTGGAACTGACAAAAAAGTGGATTCAAAAAATAAAAATATTAAATTATGGCAGTATTACCTACAACCTTACCAGAACACTCACACATAGGTACTCACCCAATTCTTTATTTGCAGGTGATTCAGGCATTTCCAAATTGACATGAATTTTATATGACTGTCCAACCATCAATAATTGTTGTTTTCTAGTTAGACGTACATGAGCAGCAGGAAAACTGCATATACCTTTTTCTTCATCACATGATCTGAATAAGAAAAATGTTCACTGAACTTGTAGAGACAATATAGATAAAATATAATTCAATGAAATTGGTGTGAATACTTGAAATAACAAAATGCATGGTCCAAATATACTTTAAATGTAACACCTTGCTTTTTTAAAATGGAACTCACTTAAACTGAAGATGTACAGGTCTCGAATGGAATATTGATGGCATGTAAGTATTGTAGAATGCAATATAGAGAAATATTGCTATCCAAATAATTACTGCTGCGACGAATGCCAAAATTCCACCTTTGAATATAACGTCTTTCACCGTGTGTATTCTCTCCACAGTTTTTAATCGGTAGCTTTCCAATATGCGATCCAAAAAACGAAATCGCGCCATATCCGAAATAACACAAGCCTCTAATACGCGTCCCTATGTCAGTTCACGCATTTGTAACCCGCTTCTAATATAATGTGGTTTCGTCCAAAGTCCAAACTTTAAGTGTTACAGAATCAAGGAGAGCATCTTTCATTTTAAGTACATTGAAGTCTTGGTGAGTTCACACATATTAAACAAGCTGGGATGTGAGATAAAACAGCTGTTCAACCTTCGGGTGACACACGACGCTGGTCGATTACGGAGTGTGCGCTTCGGAAGTGAAAACCGCGCGATACGAATGGCACTACAAACAGGTGCTACGAACTAACTCCATGCACTCGTTACATTGCGAGCTGAGCACGAAGCGGTAAACTAGTAAATTACTGAAATAGTAACTCTCCGCCATCTTTCAGGCAAATAATTTATTTTCCCCATTGAAATATATGTGTGTACGTGTGTGTGTGTGTGTGTGTGTGTGTGTATATATATATATATATATATATATATATATATATATATATATATATATATATATACATAATAAATTGTTTTTAAAACTTCAATAGACATACCCATTTTGAAAAGTGTACAGTGCGTTGGAAAAACGACTCAGACTCAGAAGTATTCCCACATTTAAGTATTTATCAATATTCATTTCCTTAACAGATTGTTGATACCATTGTTTATGTGATTTTTTTAATGATGCTAAACAAAATAAGTAATTTCAGATGGAAAAAAATACCGCTGTCCCCCCCTTTTTCATTAAAATGTTTACAAATGATTTATTTTACTGCAAAATAAATAAAACAAGGCAAGGAGAATGAAATAACGTTAACTGTACAATTTTTTTTTTTTTTTTTTTTTTTTTGCCAGCATATTTTTGTTGAACCTTTTACAGGGTTGCCAAACGGTTTGGAGAGCCTCTTTCCAGAGCCGTTTTTAGAACCTCTGAGGCCACTAGCGGATTCGAAAATGAGGCTCCCCATCCAACCACGTACCCTCCCTGGTATCTTCCGTCAGCGGGGCACCGCCCGAGCAGCGACAAGCTCCAAGCTCCCGACATGCGTGGTAATGTAGTGTCTGTGAGCGTAAGAAAAGGGTGAAGGTAGGACTAGTGTACAAATGTAGCAGACAGTAAAAAACACTGGGACGTGCGCTTTTTGAGGATAAAGTTTCATGAAAATTTGGGGCCATTTTTCATAAAATTTTGAAAATGTTGAGGCTTCATGTAAAGTACCCCAAACAGTCGAAATGTCTGTTTCAAATTCTCAGAGTCTTGAGTTCCTTCGGTCGAGGAATACTGATTTTCGAGAAAATCGTCTGACCTAGCGTTGACCACAGACGAACAGATGTTATGCCGTAAATAAATATTTCATTATACAGGACTCACTATACCCACCCAATACACAAACCAATAAACGTGATTTCTGACTAGAGAACGTGTCAGATGTGAGGTATTAAACTCTTCTAGATGAAACAATTTATTACCTACAGAAACAAGATAATTAACCACTTTTTCGTTACCAGGACCCGACAATAAGAGATTTCTGGCGAAAAATCTTCGATTTCCACCGCAGCATTACAGTAATTTCAATTTACGACTAACGAAGTGGACCTGAAAGTAAAAAAATATCTTAATATACTTTTTGAAGTGTGTGTGTTGTATTCATTTTTTTGAAGAACCCTTTAGAGATAAGGTTCCCAGCCGCCGCCGGTTACGCCGGTCATACGTTAAATCGTCACTGCCTCTTCCTCAAATGCATATAATTTCTCAATTGTCGTCTTAAAAAGGGAGAAATAGGAATTGATCATAATTACGGAAATAAGGTGTTTTATTTCGTGGGACTACAGGGCCCCCTTCGAAAATTTCAGGGGATCTCGTATCATGTGCTGGCCATGCTCCCTAGTCATAACAGTGCTTCGAGTATAATACGAGAGTCGATGAAAAAGCCTGGTTTTGGGGGTTGATTGTTGGAATGTCTCTCTATATTAAAGAGGTGAAGCAGTGGTGAGGTTTTCGGTTAGAGTTAGTTCCGATGACCAAATGAAATAATAAAGATAATGCATTTTTAATATTTTAGAAAATAGAATATTCGTAAAAACATGCAGGTGTTTTAAAGGGGGTACAAGGGTATTAATAAAAACAGCTGAGAAATTGTCATAACAGATTCGGCAATATTAGCGCATCGGCCGCTTCGTCCCGTTGGCCCAATTGCGAATCGCGAGAAGTGCGGGCCCGCCCGCAAATACAAGTAGTGTTGTGGTAATTAAAATGTTGTCTGGTAACAACAATTTATTTGGCTGATGATCGTTTCGATTGCGTAGCAAATCAGCTTCACCTGCGATCTAATTAACAAGTAGTGTTATTACTACACATCGACAGTTTAGGAAAATGCCTATTTTATACTTATTTTTTAAAATTTATTTTACCAGATCAATAGAATTACTACTTTACAAGTGAGTATTAGCTTTAATTAAAATCAATTGTAGCTCGAAGTTACAAGTAACTATAAATTAGCGCACTATCATACCACTATTTCTGAACGAAGACATTCCCACTGGGTACCTCTATAATGATTTTTGTTAATTTTGTAAAATTGAATGTTACAAAATAGTAAGCAAGATATACATAGAGAGAGAAGTGGCACAAAAAAATTAAGCTTATGGGGGACGGAACAGATCTCGAACGTTACCACACTACATTGGCCCATTCGTTTACAGGGCGGTAAGCGCTCCAGATAGAGAGCGATTTTCATTAGAATGGGCTAAAATATCGAAATTTATTCACATATGTGGGAAAATGTCTTAACGTGATCTCACATTCAGTAAAAGAAAACTGCCACGAATGTAAAAAGAAAGAAAAATGATTTGTCCGGGGACGTTCTCGATGATCCACAGCGAATGGCTCATGCAGTTTTGTAGTGAAGAGGTTTTTTTTTTTTTTTAACGCCACCATTATCCAGGCTTGGTACTATGCTCTCACAACTCAAATGTTTTAATGTTTTATATTACACTAATGTTATGCATTTCAATGCATGCCTTGATCTAGTATGTCTATTTTCACCTATTTCGTGAATGAATAATAGGCACATTCTATATATTCACTCTTACCAATTAAAACATTTCTTGCATCCACAACTAAACGCTTAACTAAATTTTCTTGAGAGTTGTTTCCTTTACAAGCATTCGCTTTTCAAATAGATATTTTTTATGTACTAAATCTCGATAGAACATATCTCTATGATGTTAAAAGAATAAATGGGATGGATATTAAAAATGTTCTGTAACGGTACATAAGTATATGTAACTTCACAAGATTCTTTATGTAGCACTTTGACCAATGGGGTGAATTGTTGATTCCATTACACTCTGGCAGCAAATTGGGGTCCATCCCAGCATTTATGAATAATAATAATAATAATAATAATAATAATAATAATAATAATAATAATAATAATAATAATAAACTAGCTCTAAACCATCTCCGCAGAATGTAAAGAGATTCAGGGATGGGATATGAAATCACCAAAAATCACCATATTCCCATTAATCCCCATATGAACATTTGGGCAGTACCTGTCACTGACTATTCATTTGGCGCTCTTCATTGGACAACAACTGCACTGCAGAAGCTTAATCGAAAAGTTTAATCGAAAAGCTTAATCGAAAAAAGGACCACTCTTACCAAGTATCGAATGCACCATCCCAACAGTTCAATGGCATGACTATGCTTACCTCGGAACGAAGAAGGTAGAGGTTTCCTGGATTTTAAGTACTTGTGTGCGAAGCAAATCAACAATCTTCGCAAATACTTACTTCAGAAAACGACGGTCATGCATGAAGCAATTTGTGCCACGGACAAGAATTTTACCCAACTGAACCTGAATCAAGCGAACTCTGAAAGACCGTGTATCACAAAAGAAGATAGACTGAGTAAGTGGACCCAGAAGCGTTTGCACGGCAGGTACAAGTATCCTGCTGAGTTCAAAGGAAACGCCGTGAATATGGGATCGTCAGTCTCCTGGCTAACAAAATCTGGCCTCTTTCCTGAGACAGAAAGGTTCGTTATTTCTAATCAGGACGGAGTACCCTCCACTCGCAATTATCAGGAGCAATCAGCAAGTTCTGCAGAACAAGTTCTGCAAAGACAGAACTTTGTTTTCGGCCCAGAAGCTGCAAGCTCTGAGGATGATCGCTACGCGATCGAAATGATCATTAGTTGAATTAAAATATTGATACCTGACAATATCTCTATTTATTTATCAAAATTTGTCTCTTTGTTATGAGCATACCTTTGAATGCTATGTTCACTTCAGTTTCAAGTACTTTGAGTTTACGTGTAATACAATGTAATGTAATGCGATTCAATGTAATGTTTACATTAGATCTTGACCATGACACAGTTAGCAAAATACGTGAAAAAAGTATTTCAGATTCAAAATACTTTCATACAAGCATTTGAGATATAAAATACAAGATAGGATTTTTAAATTCTTTTTAAAATACATAATAAATCAATAATGATCCAGATTGACAATTTATTTCTCAAAACTTGGTTGTGATTTACAAATAAATATTATTGCACACATTTCCCATCAACACTACTAGTTTTTCAAACATTGTATTACTAATGTTTCTTCTTGTAATTGAAATTGATAAGGACCTCATTCCATTAACATCAAATTTTGTTTGATTGTTTTTGTTTTTCATGCTACTATGTAATGATGCACGAAAAAATGGTGAATGTCTGACAGAAAAACTCTTTTTGGACGGTCCTGAAAACAAAAATGTGGATAAATCTAGTTGCCAAATTTAGAAGAAGAAAAAGTCCTCAACACGTGGTGTAGTCTGAATCCATGAAAAAAATAGTCTGAATCCATGTTTTGAGGGTCCTTGATACCGAAATATCAATTGACGGCCAAACTTCCATCCACCTGTGCACCAACACCACTAGCGGCTAAACCAGGGTAGTCCAATTGGCGGGTTGTGCTGCCAATTATTGTAAAAAGGTTATTAGTCAAAAGTTAAAGTCCTATGCAACCATAATGGGCGAGAACGTACTACCCCTAGCCCACACACTCCTCTAATGGAAAAATAGGTGAAGTTTAGATTTAAGGACTTTTTCGCATAGTAAATTCAGAAAAAAAAGTCATCCCAATTTGATTCGCTGCCTTATACGTGGTATGGTGTGATATCACGCGTGGTTCCACTCCCCTCCTCCCCCCTCCGTTCATGAGCAGCCGGATAATTTGCTACGATCAACATTGCAGGGAAGTCAGGTGTGGATCGCACAAGTAATGAAAATACCATATAAACATTTTCAAAATGAGCAACCATAATAAAGATTT